CCCTCCCTCCCTCCCTCCCTCCCTCCCTCCCTTCCTTCCTTCCTTCCTTCCTTCCTTCCTTCCTTCCTTCCTTCTTCTTCCTTCTTTGTGGCATTTGGGATGGAACCTAAGGGTGATCCACCACTGAGCTACATCCCCAGCCTTTTTTATTTATTTTTGTTTTAATTTTTATATTTTTTGTCTTACTAAATTGCTGAGGCTGGCCTTGAACTTATGATTCTCCTGACTCAGCCTACCAAGTCTCTGGGAGAACAGCTGTGCCTGGCCATTCCGTCTTGTGTAATTGGACTAAAGTCCACCTTTGCCAAGCTGGTTCACCTTGCCACATACTTGTTATACCTAAGCCATTGTTTTCTAATAAGAACCGTTACATGCCGCCAACCTTCTATCCTTACTTTCTTCCTGTCATCGCCACAGCCCAGTTGTGCCAGAACAGTGAGGTAGGTTGCAGACAGGCCAGAGGAAGTATCCAGAGATAGCCTGTGAGGCATGGGATTTATTGGGGAAGTGTACAGAGATCAACAGCTGCTCTAAGAAGAGTTCAATGGTGATAGACAGATAGCACCTCTGCCCCTCAAGGTGCTTTGCTAAGGAGTGACTCCTTCCAGTGTTTTGTCCAGTGGTGGTTAACTGGACAAGTGACATGTATCCTTTACACAGTGTCCCAACTTCATCCTTGAGAGAAGGTTTCATATGTTGGGCTGCAGCAGCGGTCATTAGCGTTAGCCTCCTTTGTTTGCTTGTCTGACCAGCATCCCAAGGAGCGGCTGTCATAGTGTGCATGCAGGAAAGTTGTTTTCTATAGGCAGCACTAATTTGCTCTAGTTCACAGTGTGCATAAGAGAATGCCAGTGTTCTTCAAGATAATATATTTGGACCTTCCAACCCTGGCTTGCTCTCACTGATTCATTGACTTAGCTAGATTTTTGGAACAAAGGGATCCATTCAGGGTCATGGTATTTTACTGCTTCCCCTTTTCTTTAAAGATGGTATATTCCATCTCCCATGTAAGATGTACTTAAAATCTTCCACTTATCTTCCATAGTATCCCTCGAGTGGCACAAAAGGATGTTACAGTGTAGCCAAATCCCACAATATTCATACAAAGAGCAACAGAATATGAGCAGCTCTGCTCTAAGAGCAAGTGGACTGAGAACAACATATCTCCAGGTGGGGGGAAGAGACTGTAACCAAGCAGAGAGAGGATTAGGACTAAGTTTACCTACAGCAGTAATATGGGTTTGCAATTTATGTAGAGCCAAAGAAATGTTATGATCATCATGAGGGGTGTATGCATAACATTCAGTATTTATAAGGATACAGGCACCTCCCTGTGCTTTGGCCAACATAACCAATGCCCTTTTATTTCGAATCACCACCTTCCATGTTTGGGTGGTTTCTTTATTAAGCAAGGTTTTGGCTCTGTGAGTAGTATTTAAGGCAGCAGCAGCATGCTTAGCTAATGCTTCAACTTGGAACTCAATGTTAATGCTTTTTGCTTCAGGAGAAGGTATAATAAGTGGGTAAAGCCACCAGGCAGCTCAAGTTACATTATGTTTAGTTTTTATAAAGTCCTAATTAGTAGGGATTGTAGATAAAGTGGGAAGTATATAAAATCTTTTCTAAGTGCATTGGCCAATCCAGTTATAAGGCAGGTATGGCCACCTGTAGGTGTCACATGTCCATAACTGCCCCCAAGGGGAGGGATATATTCCTCACATGTTGTTCAACTTTGCCATCTTAAATAGTCAGCGTCTGAGTATAATGGCTAAATGATGCTGATTGACAGGGGTCCAACCTATATTTACAGAGAGTAGAGAGGTATTGAAGCCATTTTTTTTTCTATACAGAGAGAAAATTCCCCTTTCATATTCATTCACTTAGCCACCCCAACCTGTCAATCAGAGTATACCACAGAAAGGCTTGGCCATGTCCATTTGTTCCCATACAAGTGGAAGACAAAGAAGAGTAAATTCAAGTTCAAGTCTATAGGGCATTTTGCCAGCTGCCTGGTGGTACATGTTATTTCAGCTTAACAGTCACTTCCATTTCACCAAGGTAGCTGCAAGACCAGTGTAGGAGGTCAGAGGCATCTTATTATATGTCTGGCAATCTGAGGATACTTGCCCATTATGCAAATAGATTAGCTCTAAGGATGAAACATAAGACATTTTTAGCAGGTGTTAAAACAGGCAGATCTTGAATATTCAACAATATATAAGCAAACTGATAATTCTGAATGAGAATAGAACCAGCCTGTGACTCATCCCCAGATTTACAAAACATATTTCTTGTTCCAGTGAACCCTGTGGCTTTGGTGGGGAAGCCCATAATGAAATGACATATTCTCCTCCAGGGATAAAAGATCTTGGATTGGTAATTTTTTTTCTGCTTTTGTCTTGTTCTAGTTCCTTTCCTCACACCATCAAATCCCCATTTGCTATTCCCATAGCCAAGAGATTATATGGGCTCACTGTGGCAGTGGCAACAGCAACTTATCCCGTGTTTCCATTTGTGAAGTGCAGGTGTCCTTCTTAAGCATAATCATTTGGATCCAGATGATGTCATCAGATTCTTGTATTAACATCAAGGAGGCACTGGAGCGTGTGCTGCAGTCACGTTCATTGACGGTCCTGATGACCATCCTTACTTAGTCACTTGGTACACACTGCCGAGGATCCGTCCTCCATGTTTAGTTGCCGTTTTAGCAGGCCATTCATTTATGCAATTGATCCTGTTGCAGCTGGGTTATTAGGTAACTGAAAATGCCAATATACATTCAAATTCTGAGGCCATTCTTGTGCCATGTGGTCAGCAAAGTGTGGTCCCTTGTCCTTGTCTATGTCCTGAGGGGTCCATGGCCACACATGGTGCCAAGCACTTGAAAACAATGCCTGGTTGCCTTCTGTGCGGCCCTTCTGCAAGCGTATGCCCATAGTCATTCTGTGCATGTGCCTGCAGTGCCTGTAGCCTTCTGATGGGAGCAAGGGCCCAATGAAGTCAACCTGCCACTGTTGTGCACATGGCCAACCTTGAGTTACCCACCCAGGCACCTGAAGACTTGGCTATAGCTGCTTCATGGCACAGGCAGAAGAGCAAAAGTCACATACACATGAGTATCTTGGTGAGAGCCCCAATTGCTTTGCTGTGGGCTAAAGAGCTTCCTCTCCCTGGGGCCTGCCAAACCAGCCATATTTTCAGTTGCCACATCTTGCAGCCATCTAATATTAGTTAGGTCATCTGCTTCTGGATTGCCTGGTGGAGAAGCATGGTTGTATGCTACCATGTGATACATAATCAAGTCTGACAGTCACTTCCAAATGTATTTCCATCTTCTTCACTTCCTTCTGTAGCCATGACCAAGGTCCTAAGGGAACTCATTTATTGCCCTGCTGCTGCCACAACATCCACTCAAATGCATCAGGGGAGCTAAAAACATCCTGTCTATAGTTGTTCTTGGACGAATGTGCCCAGGACTTATAATTGTTCTTCAACCTTTTTTGTTAACAAGAAAAGGCTTCAAGGTGCTCAAGTTCCCAGATCCACTAGGCTTTCCTTTTTACTAACTTATATAATAGTTTCAACCTTTGTGCTAAGTTTGGAATGGTAAAATGCCAGCATCTCAATATTCCCGAGAAAATCTGTGACTGTTTGATAGTAGGGGAAACTTGGACTTCATCTACAACAACAGACGATCCCAAGGACTTGGCAGACAACATGAGTCTTTGTAATTCTAAGGAATTGACAGCCCATTCTCTCTCTTAGAGATGCGCTATCACCCTTTGTACTCCCTT